AAATAAATATATAATACCCTTCAGGTGAACTGGGTGATAGCAGGACCCAATTCTCAGGAGGACTTACCTGCCCAGAACAGAGACATTGCAGAGCCTGTGAGCGGGTCCTTCTATTTCGGAGATGGAGAAGGTGGATTGAGAACCATAATTCTGACCATATATCCTCATGAAGAAAATGAAATTGAAGAGATTTTCATTATTAAACTTAAACTTGTGAAAGGAGAAGCTAAATTAGACTCTAGAGCTAAAGATGTTACATTAACCGTAAGTGTGACTTTATTATCCCACAAAATTTTAACTATCAGAAAATCCACTTATATTGGCTGAACCCTACAAACTCATGTTGAGAGTTATAAAACTAAGTGAAGTTAAAACAGTTTCAACAGGTCAAAGTTCCTAAGTGTTATATTATTTTATTATATCACCTGATTATCAACAGTTTCAGTGTAGTGGTAAATACTTTATATCAGACAGTATGATGGTTTGGGAATATTGGGCACTTTTAGAGGACATATTTGTTTGATAGCAAATATATCAATGTTGAAGATGATCTAAGTACATAAAAATTATTAACTAGTCACATTTGGGTCGTTTGAAAGAAGAAAATTACTTGTTTAGTTACTACAATGATTCGGTAGATCAGAGCGAGATTCACTGTTTTTCATGTAAATCATCTAGTCCACAGGAGCAGAAAGTACTCCCTTCTGACTGAGAGATAGTATGGGGAGGGAGAGGGAGAGAGACTGAGGCTGAGAGGAGTTGTCTCAAAGCTTACATGATTATGGGGGCTGAGAAGTCTGCCATGCACAGAGCAGACTGGAGGCAGGAATGTCAGGATTGTGTTGAAATGAAGGTCTTAATTGGAATTCTGTAAGCAGGTCAGCAGTTGGAAATTCAGTTTGGATTTCAAAGTTTAAGTCTTGAGGCAGAATTCTAAAATTCTTCTCCAGGAAACCTGTTTTTGTTTCAAAGGCCTTTAACTGATTGGATAAGTTTCATTCACTTTATCCAGGATAATCTCCTTTACTTAAAATCTACTGATTTTAAATCTTAGACCTATGTACAAAATACCTTCCCAGCAACATCAAGACCAGTGTTTGACTAACTGGGCACTGTAGCCTATACCAGCAACACATGAAATTAGTCATCACAGTGCCTCTTTCCTCTTTCTGTATCTTACTATAATCAGTAGAAAAATGCTAACTTGCACTAAGTGGTTAAATGAAGCAAAGCACAAGGCAAGTAAAGCTGAATTCATGCTTTGGAGTACTGTTCATTCAGGATTCTGTAAGTTGTAGTTTTCTGGATACTTAGTGCCATTATCCTTTGGGAATAAGAACCTCCTTACAGAGAGCAATCAAAGTAATAAAGAAGATTTTTAAAATCAGGTAGCTAGGTAGACTGTATTCAAGTATGACTTAAATGTTCCTATCATTCCCTCAGCTTATCTGTGCATTGATATGCTAGATATTGTAATTTAACCCAGAGACATTATATTATCACTCACTCTATTCTCTGCTTCCATTTTTAGATAGAAAAGTTTGGCGATCCAAATGGAGTGATTCAGTTTGCTGCTGAGTCTTTATCTTGGAAGACCTATTCCGAGCCATCGTTGCTAGAAGGGGCCCTGGTCATTCCTTTCTTTGTCAAGAGAGTTGGGGGCATTTTTGGAGAAATTAGGGTATCGTTTTCCATTTGATTTTTAAATAGAGGAACTAGTTACATAATGAAAGTGGTTGAAAAGAACAAAACATCTCTGTATTCTGGTTAATTAAAGGTTTTTAATAAACTGAAATACATGAGTTCTCAAGAAGTTAAAAGGTTCATTTAAGTACTTTTAAACTCTTTAGCTGGTGTCAGTCTCTAGTTTTCCTTCTAAGTTTGGTTATAGTTGGATGACAAAGATCTTCACAGTCATGGAGTATGACAGGGCTATTTTTT